GCACCGCATCAGCCCCGAAAGAGCCCAAAACAGCGGCACCCGCAAGCTGAGCGTGACAGCAACGAAACCACAGTGAATGGATCCCAAAAAGCGAGCCTGTCCCAAAGCGATGAGCCCAGGAAAAGAGGCGGGATTTGCCTTTCCCGCAGCGGGGAAGCCCCGGTGTCACCCTGCCATGTGGGGCCGTACAGCAGCAGCGGAGTTAAGCCGGTGACTTGCTGTAATCCTCTTATCCCCAAAGGTTAATGAGCCTGGAGCGCCCGGGAACAGGCACTTGCAGCACAACCACCCGAAAGCCTGGAGCTGATGGGGAGGCTGCATCCTTGATCCTTGGGCAGAGAGGAGATGCGCCTGGGGTCCTGGGGGCTGCCAGCATCTCCCAGTGCAACCAAAGCGATGCTTTACTGACAGAAGGCAAAGCTCATCACGCACCAGACAGTGACAAGATGATGGCTTTGCAAGGCAGGGCTTGGAGACGCACCTTGAGGCAAAGAGCTGCTAAAAGGGTTATTGCATCTTGCTGAGATCCCAAACCTGGGTTTGCAGATCCCAAACCTGGGTTTGCACTGCCTGCCTTGTGTGGGAGCAGCACGATGGGCTCATCCCAACACATCACACTCATCCCAATGCATCAGTGGGATCCAGGCTTCCAGATCCCCAGGAAAGGGAATGCTGTCTCATAACCCTAGGACAGGAGCTCAGCCACCCGGTACTGCCTGGTAGGATGGGACTAGGGCTGGGACCCAGCTGGCCTATCCCCAAACCAGGCTGTAATTCCCATTGGTGCTGGTGGTTTTATGGCATTTATGGCCCATAATGTCATTACCAACCAAACTCCAGCCCGGGAGCTGCTGCAGAGGCTGGTTTCACCTTGGTGATTCAGCACAGAGGCTTCTACAGGGCCATTTTACATCCAGCACAAGTGCAGGGGCAGCCCCTATCCCACCCACAGCACTGCCATGACACAGACTTAGCATGGTCCCAAATACACCATGGTGCCACCAAACCAATGCCAATCCCTTGGGGCCACTGCCCCAAATCCCAGGGTGGCCAGAACATCCATGAAGAGGTAACGGTGGGACCAGGGATGGGCATGGGGTGATGCTGCAGCCTGGGACATGCATGTCCCTGCCGGCTGCTTGGTGAAGCTGGGCTGTGGATGGCTCTGAGACAGGGACATTGACTCTGACCCACACATCAGCAGCACATCTGGGGGTGGGCAGGTCCTGGCTGTCACTGCAGGCACACAATCAGCACTGCCAAGACTTTCATACGGGAGGGGGTCCAACCCCAAAACCTGCCCATCCACGGGCCGCGGTGCCCACGGGAGCAGCCCCAACGCCTTACTCACAGCCCTCACGTACCAAGCTGGTGACTAAAGCCGGGATCAAAGCGCCCAAATGAAGGAGCAGGGTTTACATCCACCCTTTCTTTCCAGGCTGCTTTTAATTACGGCGTGATCCTCCCCACCCACAGCTCCCCAGGGCCCTGGCATCCCGCAGGAACACAATCCCGGGAGGGGAATGCCGGGTCCTGGCACAGTGCTTTGGGAGCAGGACATGGAGCTGGAAACCTCCCCGGCGAGGCGGTGCGAGGGCTGCTGGGTCAGCTGAACTGCAAACAGCAGCTCCGGAGTTCCCTTCCGAATGCTTCCCCTTCCCAAACCACACCACTGGGCAGTCACACACACGGTATTCCTGGAGCTCACTGGAGTTTTCACCTCCTTGCTTAAGAAAAGCAGGAATTGGCGACAGAAAAGGGCAAGTTTTGCTTCCTGCTGCAGGACAGCAGCTTCCCACCTCCCACAGCAGCCGCTCCAAGGGGGATGCCAGCATCACAACACCTCAAAAAGCATTTTAAGGGCAGCTGGTGACCTTCACAGCACCCAGGATCACACAACCCCTGCCTGCACCGGCGGGCATCACCCTGGCCTTTGCTGGGGAAACGAGATGGGGCTCCTGGTTTTGGCAGCATCGTGCTCCAGTGAAGGCACATGGAGGGGACATGGCACTGGTGTCCTCATCATACAAAGGTGACCAGCGGCCATCTCCACAGCTGCTATAATTAGACATAAAAGGCAAATCAATACCCACATACTGACATTGGAAGAGTTTTGCTGTCACAGGAAGCATTACTACAGGAAACATTAGGATAACACTCCTTTAGGACTGTTTTCAAGCAGTTTTAGGGGTGGTGAACGTGCCCATCAGTCAGTGGGCCCCTGGTTTAGATCCAATGGATCAGTTTTGGGTGGTGAATGTGCCCACCAGGCAGCGAGCCCGTGGTTCAGATCCAATGGAGAACAGCCACCCCCTCGCCCTGCACGCGGCTCTGCCCATGGTATCCCTGTGACCGTGAGCTCCCGCACAGGACACACATCCCACCACCAAGCCCAGAAAGCCATGGAAGGGCAGAGGGAGGAGGGACACGCTCCGGCCCCGCCGGCACAGGCTGCCCTTCGGCACCAGAGGCAGCGCTGCCACCGCGGTTCTTTATCAGCGGTGCCCGGTGGGACGGCTGAAGGAGACGTGTCCAGAAGGAACCGGAATTGCCGGTTTCCTCGTGTTGCTCCCCAAACCCGACAGGATTCGTTTCCTACCCTGCGCGCCCGAGCAGCACCGTGACCCCGGGGACTGTGACACCTTCACTGGTGCTCTCCAGGTACAAACCAGCCCAGGGAAGGACCAGGAAGGCAAAGGGGAAAGATCCCTGCTATGCAAGCGCAGCCTGCAAAACAAGAGTGGCCTGGGGATGCATGCTGAGAGGGCACTATGGTTTTTGCTGGGGCAGCTGGTGAGCCCGTCCCTCTGTCCATCCCTGCCCATGCCGTTGGGGTAATAACATCCCACAAGCTGGATGACAGCCCTGTTGGTACCCTGAGCATCACTCACCCCATGGGGGCTGTGGGAAGGGCTACGGGCACCCCCATCCAAGCCAGACACCGCGGGACACAACCAACTTCAGGCCTTGTTTTGACTCCGCCACCCTCCCTGGGACCGGACATCCCGGTCCCCAAGGGCCACTCCACGCGTGGCCCAGACCCGGTATAAAACAACCCCCGGTGCTGCTGGGCAGCCCCTGCCCGGGACCGAGGGGCACTGAGAGGATGCAGAGATGCCGTTAGCGGTGCGAGGGGGGGGGACCGGGCTCAGCCGCGCCCCCGTCGGAGCCATAAAACTTCCCGTGTTTGCTCATGGCCGCGTTTACCTGCCGATAAGGCCGCGAGGGTGCGGGGCGGGGGGGGCACACACACACACACACACCGCCCGCTCGGGGCGACGGGACCCGGCCCCAGTGCCCGGCCCAGGGGCAGCGGGACGGGCCGGTACCCACGCGGGACCGGGCCGGGCCCACGGAGGGAGGAAGCGATGGGGCAGGTGGGGGCGGGAGAGCGTGCGCCGCACCGGTAGCAGGGACGGACGGACGGGCGGAGGGACGGACAAACAGCGGCCGCGCCGCCCCACGGGGGGGTCCCTGGACCCAGCTTCCCCCCAAGGCCCCGCGTTCAGGGGATGCCCCGCTGAGGGGTCGGTCCCCACCACTCCCACCCCAGGTCGGGACCGGGACCGGAGCCGGTACCGAAGCACCCTCACCCCCTTCCGCCGCCCTTGCCTGGTTCTTGTCGAACTGCTCCCGCTCCGCCTCCAGGCTGTGCCCGCCGCGGCGGCTCAGCACCCTCGCCGGCACGCTCTTGATGCTGTTCATGGCGGCCGCGCTCCGGGCACCGGGTGCCGGGAACCGCGCTCTGGGCAGGCAGCGCCCGGCCCCGCCGGCTCCTCCCGGCCGCGCACTGCGCCGAGCAGCTCCGCGCCCGGGCACAAGGGCGCCCCTAGCGGCCGCGCCAGGCCCCACCCACCCGCGGCAGGTGGAGCCCTGCCCGCACCCCCGAGCCGGGACCCGGAGCCCCGGGGAAGGGGCCGCGGGGTGACGGCTCCACCCGCTCCGCCGCCGCGTCCCGCTCCTCGTAGCGCGGAGGGCCCCCCCCCTCATCCCGCCCCAGACACGTCCAGGAGGGTCGGTACCCGCCCGTCAGCGCTCCCCCGTTGGGAAAGCCACGCAGCAGCGGGGGCAGAGACCCTGCGGCAGGGCTGGAGCCCAGCGGCAGCTTTGCTTTCTTTAGTAATTCGGTGTGAAAACACAATAGCAAAGGCACTGCCGGGAGTATCCGCAAGGCTTCCAGAAACACGGCAGCAGAGCTTGAGGCGGCCTGAGCCGTAGCGAACACGATTGGTTTGTACCTGAATCAATTATCCCCCGACATCCCCCCATTGCACAAACCGAGGGCAGCCCCAACACACAACCCTGCGGCTCCAATGATCCTCGTTGCATCACTTCAGCTTGGTTTTCTGTATGACTTTACAGCTGCCATTTGAAACGCACAGGTTGTTCATTGCATTCACTCGTTGATGCTCGACACATTTAAACCAGCTCCTGCTGGGAAGTTGCACCAGTTTCTCCAGGAGCTGGCATATGGTACAGCTGTGGGGCAGCTTTGGGATCAGCATCATGGCATTGCCAGCATCAGCTTTTTGAGGGGGGGTTTTGTCATACCCACAGCAGAGGATTTGAGGATGGAACCTGGAAAGCTTCTCTTAGGAAAAGGAATCAAATGCACTTAAAATGCATGTGGAAACTCAAAGAAAAGCTGAGACTCCCTTTGTGGGTAATGCCTGCGGGTGGTGAGGGACAGGGAGGATGAAGCTGTGATCAGAATTAGTTGACCAATTTTGAGGCCATGAGCACGTTACCTGGCATTTGGGTCATTAAAAAGAGAGCAGAAAATTACAGGAAAGAGTTAACAAGGGGAAACCACAGTGGATTTTGCTGCAATTAACTCCTGGCTTAAGACAGAGCCAGAAACTCCCACCCCTTCGCTGCCTCCACGCAGGGACAGAGCTGGTCCACCCAGCTCATGTCTTCAGCAGTTGGTGTTGTACATCCCAAAGAACCACCATAAATGAATTACTAAATGTGTCAGCATGCTAAACAGGCAAGAAAGATACAGCAAAGGTGTCACCTCTATTGGCTTATTTGATCTTTTAGTTAAAAAACAAGTTCATATTGTGGTAAGGGAATACATCTTGCCCAATAGCCAAGGATTAAAAACCAGTTTAAAGCTAAAACCCCAGTCCCACCACACTGGACACACCTCATCTTGTCACAAGCTTCTGGCAGAACAAGCAGTGCCCAGTGGAAGCGGTGCTGTGCCCGTCTCATGGGTGACAACTGTCCTGTTCCAACCACGCAGGAGCAGTTCCTGGCTACAGCATAATTGGGAACTTCCTATAAACATTATTCATCTCCCTCTACATGGCCACAAGTCCAGAGCTAAAACAATCAGCTATAAAAAAAAGGAACATTTGGCTGTGTCATACGCTATAAATATTTCTGAGCCACCATAAAAAAAAAGAGTAAGAAAAATAGTTCCTGTGTTGTAACAATTACGCACTTGAGAGTCTTCAAACCCAAGCCAGTGTTTAACCTGAGCTCCCAGCTATAAAAATAGTTCTGTTGAGCTTGGCGTTAGTCTGTGTTTTATTTCAAGATAAAACATATCCCCACATCTCTTTGTGAGGCTTTCACTCCAAAGAAGCATGGAAAAATAATGAGGTAACTTTCCATCATAGCTGATGGGTTGGTGATCTTCAGGTCTCCAGGTTAACTCTGTGTTGGAAAGGTCTTCACCTGCTGCAGAAAATGGAAGGTTTTTGTTAAGTTGCAGGAACATTTCCTTTAAAATAGAAGAAGTGTTCACGTGTCTGTCAATTTACTCTAGAGAATTTCATGCTGTAAGCAACCTAAAACCAGTGTACACATTTAAAGAGGAAGAAAGGTAACCAAAGCATTTCATGACAGCGGTCTTGGGACACTGCTGCAGTGTCGGGAAATAGAAACCTTTCCCATTTGTTTTGCAGAGGGATCAATCTTTGTGCCCTCAGTCAACCACTGCGTCACCACCCCTGAGCAGTGGCACTCACGACCTTGTCCAAAACTGAATGCCCCCTTTCACTCACTGCTTTGTTGTTCAACTCTCCCCAAAACACTCTCTCCCTAAAGGAAAACAACCCACTGATGGAAACGGCCAAATCACCGCCAGCGAGTCAGGAAATGAACCCAGTGTCAGTGCACCTGCACTCTGATGATTGCAAAGCAATTAAAAACCACCCCCAAACCCAGTACACATCAATTCAATCATTTCCCTATGTGAAATGGCCAAATATTTAGTTATTTCTGGACCTGCTATCAACTCTAAAAGCTGCTTTGGACCAAACCGATCACAGTGATCCAGTGCCTTTTAACAAAAGGAGGAAACCAGAATTATGCAGCAGCCAGTGACCTGCAGAGTCACTACTTCTTGTCGTGGCTCCACAGCAAATTGTGGGTCCGTTTGTTGCACCAAACCTCTCTCACTTGAGGCAAATGAACTCATTTCTGTAGGCTCAGCGTCTGCTCCCCCTCTGCTGCCTCAGCAGTTTGGGGGATTTGCTCCTGCAACTTTCCAACAGCAGTAGTTTCAGGCTGCAAGTCACAGTGCTGGCCTGCATCCATAAAACCTCCATCTTCTTTTACCTGAGGGCTCTTTTCAGGAAAGGAAGAGCTCTCCACATAGGAACATCGTGCAGAGTAAGGTACAGCATTCCAGCTACTCAGCATCCATTTCCCACAAGAGCTCCATTAGCGTGCACTAAGCAGACCCAACTCATTTTGGAAGAAGACTCAGTGTCTCCAGACTTAATGCAGCAACAGCAGAACATGAGGGTGCTACAAGCCAGCACACAGAGGGTTTGGCTCCATAGGAGAGAGACAGCTCAGGGACTGCACTTTGAGTGTACCAAGAGAGAACTGAGCACCAGCTCTCCATGGGATTAAAGGTGATCAGTGTAAGAAATTCAGTGCCACAGAGCTGCATACTCAGCTTGTTGTGCAGTAACTCCCCTTGGCTTCGGTTGTGTCAGCACTGGAAGACTTCTTTTTTGTCCATTTTCTCCCCATTGTTGCTAGTTCTTATTCATTTTCACGTGGTGTTCAGTATTTTACCCGTATCTGGTTACTCATTTGTCCTCAGAACCAGACAACACGGTGCCTACTGCAAGGATCCAATTCACATCAGTAAAACAAATAATCAGAGAGTGAGAAATTTCCTGATTCAAGAAGAAAAAACAATTGACTACGGGCAAGGCTGCTTTTTGTATGCAGCTCTATTCAACACATTCTGCTTCTGGAGCTCTGAGCCCAGGAACAATATGCTAAAACAGCCCTTGGCCGTGGCACTGAAAAACACTTCCCAGTCTCTCCTTCAACAATGTTCACATCCTTGATCCCGTTATCTGTAACACACAGAAGGATTTTTAACTACAATAAGCAGTGTGTAGGTACTCAGGAATTATGCTGCAAGGTCTGACTGCCCAGAGGATGAGGAAAGTGATTGAGAAAAGTTGATTTGACTAAAGGGATTACTCGTTGCCTTACTATCTGTTCGCTGTTAACTCACAGGAGTTTTATTTGAAATGCATTTAGCAGTCCACTGAGAATCTTGTGCCAGGCTCATCTCAGAAGTCCATAACTTATATTAATATTGCAGGTGCATTTATAAAGAGGAACAGAAAACTCCAATTAAGAAGATCAAGATGAAAATACCTTCATACTTACAGAACATCATAGAGAAAAGAATGGGAGGTCAGCACCTCTTTCTTCTGCAGCAGATAACTGGGTTCTGTGAAGACCTTCTGCAACTTCTGTTGTCTACATTGCAAAGCAAAAACACTACATGGAAACCAAAGAACTGAGATAACACAAAACACAGAGCTGCCAGGTTCAAACTGGGGAGCAGCAAGGATACACTTGTTAATTCCCTCTTCTCCCTCCTCCAAGCAGGGCAAAGAATCCAACACGTACAAATTCTTACTGATTAAATCCTAAGGGTTATATTTGATACATGTCTTAAAGCACAGTTTAAAACAGCCTCAGGTAAACCTGGCTTTAAGCACAGGTTATATGGCCTGCGCAGAGGAATTAAAAACACGCTTGACAGGTCTTTCCCCAGAACCACTCCGAAAGTAGATCAAAGTTGTACAGATGTGGTGCAGAGGCTGCCCCCAGCAGTAAACATGAGCCTGCTTCATTTTCTATCCACTACAGCAACCACCCCGATTTCAGGCTCAAAAATGCAGTCTCAGGTTGTAAAGCAGTCATGCTCACTACCAAAGGACAGCCCGTTTAGCTGAGCTGTGATGTGCCAACCAGGAAAGCAGGAGCCAGACAGCTGATGGGGCTGGGCAGGAGCCACAAGCAGCCACTGTTCTGGAGAGAGCTTTTCAGGAATCCCTCCTACACGACAGCCTTTGCAAACGACTACACTGCTGCTGTCTCTCATGCTGAATGAAACCCCGCAGATGAAGTTCTGAACAAAATATCCTTTCAGCTTATGCAAACGCTGGCACACAACCTTTAGACTCTGTCGGTCAGTCCCAGCACAGCTAAGGTTTTGTGGTTCTGAATGTTATAAAAATCACTTTGTCTTGTTACTTACAGCAACATTGTTCTGGTCAAGGTCATCTAAGGATAAAAGGGGTGCAACTTTTTTAGAGAGATGTCATATCTTTCAGGAGAAAGCTGAGGTGTCAGCATACAGCTTCTCATTGAGTCTGCTTTAACACCAAAAACCTAATTTCTCCTTGGTGATATTTATCAGCGCACGTTGTCTTTTTTAGTGACAAGTGGCACAATCTCCTCATCAAACAAGATAGAAATCCTTAAGGATATATGTGAAAACAAACAAGTGACCCCTCCTGCAATTATTCCTATTATTGCCCACATATTCAAGATTAACTTCTGATCAGCGTTCATGCTCATAAAATAAACTGCCCTGACAGCTATGTACAGGTTATTTTCTTTGACCATCGAGTATGTCCTCTGACCCTGCAATGAAGCCCACAAAAACTCTAAAGTTATTTAAGCTAGGAGCCTGGTTTAAAGTCACACACAAAACTATCCTCTATGTCACTTATTTCCTGTACTGTCCTCCTTTCCACAAATATGCCTCATGTAATAAACCAGTTCTGAATGTCCCTCCTACAGCTTGCTCCAAAACAACTTCTTCTTTCCATCTGTTTAGACACAGGCAAAAATCAAATCCTGTCATGGCCCTGAGGAGCCATAAAGAATCCTATATAAAATTCAAGTACTTCATGCTAAGGCATGCAGGAATTTTACCTTCAGCAAAGCATCAGGAGGATATTCATAGCACTGTAGTGCAAGGGAAAGGGTGTTCCCAATCCCTATTAATGACCACCTAAATCTAGTCATGGGAGAGCAATCTATACCGTGTTAATGTTGCTGCTGTTTGGACTGCAGCGAGGGCTCGCCTGGAGGAGAGTGCTAAGCTCCAGATCAGCAACCATCTGTCGAGACTCAGCCAGCGCATGCTGCAGCTTACTTATGGGAGAACTGGTGTCCTGGAGGAGACAGAAAGGGAGCCAAAGTTATGAAATGGTCATTTTGGAATATGTCAAAGGATTATAACCCACCAAGAATCATCACGTTCAAAATACTACTATATTACACTGCTCCAGTGCAATGCTACTACATTACACTGCTCCAGGCTCCAAGTGGTGTTATTTGTAATAGACACAAAGGTCTTTCCTGGTATCAGCTTTTAACAGATCTTCACATGCATGTGCACACAGTGCACACAACAGCAATACTTCAGTGAGAAAGGGGAAAACCAGGCAAGACAAAAACCCAGTGTCCAATAACCTGAAATAACTGTATCCAAGCATACTCAGGTATCGTGCTTTAATGGAATTTCCAATTAGCCAGCATTTGTTATCCTAAAGCCTTGCATTTCAAAAGCTTGTATCTCTATATATATAGATATAGATATATCTGTAATTTATAAATTAGATGTATCTATAAAACAGTATCTATAATATTGAACTCCTTACACTTATGCTGTCCAAGGCAGAGACAAAAAGGAATTATTTTGATGAAGTATTTTACCACCGTTGCTTTAAGCCTCATGTCCCATCATTCCAGACCCTAGTTCTGCCCCACTGGCAGACAACTGCTTTCCTACCATCACAATTCCCCTTACAATCATGGAAGCATGTTCTGCAATAAAATACTGACTCGGTCCACGGTGGCGGTGCAGCATCTGTTTGTTGGCTCAGTCACTGAAAAGCTATTGAACTCCAGAGTGAATTCCTCATCGCAGAATTTCTCACATCTTTGAGGCCTGTCTCCTTTCTGGGTGGATGTCAAACAGGGAGAATCCAAGTGAAAAGAATTCAGATCCACGTTTTCTCCACTGCTAAAAAAATGAAGACATTGCCAGAAACAGTATCGCCAACCTTTCTCACCTTTCAAAGGAATATCATGGGACAACATAAATAATCATGAGCCCCGAGCCAAGAAAACCATGGAGCATGTGAGAATATGCTGCTCCTCAGAGCAGTTCCCGTGTTTAACAGCTTCATTAGATCAGGTTCAACCTCTGAGGACAACAGTCTGACATTCAACCAGTTTCAAGAACAGTTACTATGTGCTTGAGTATCTATTTAACCTTGCAAAGAGCACGTAAAAAGGCAGTCTCTAACTCCTCCAAATACTCTGGTAGTCCTTCTCCTCCCTTTTTTTAATCAACCATTAGGCTAATTAATATCTGTAGATGTTCTTTGCAAGGGAATTTCAGAGTCTTTTAAAGTCACCATCTCACTTCAGAGATCACAGGGCAGCTTCCCCAAAGAGGCTTTATTTAAATACAGCAGCAAACAGTAAAGTGCTGTTTGAGCAAACTGTGATTAAACCCAAGACTCAGTTGCCTGACTGCCATTCCAGTGTGGAGCTGGAAGCAGATAATCTATTGGCATACATCTTCCCTTAGCTTCTGAGTGCATTTAGGAATATCTGAAAAGCAATTTAAATGACTGTTAAAGCAACAAATCATACCCTGTACCTACTACTGTATGAACACTGGCTTGCAGCCATCCCAAGCTTGTCCTAATACAAAAGGTCTTTAGCACTTAATATGCATACTGAATGACTGAAACTTCTCTTTTACACCTCTCCCACAATAAAAAAGCAACAAAGGTGTAAGAGAAGAGTTTCAATTACACTCTACCCTAGAGAAAAACACTTCTCAATTTCAATTCCTTAAATCACAGCGTTACCAAATCCCTCACTCAGCTCCAGCACCAATTAATCACAAAATAAGACGAGAAATAATAAAAGCTGTAGTACATTTGAAATGATCTTGATCATCTACCATAGCAGTACAGGAACCCAGCAGCACCCTAACTAAACCCTCTGTCCCCAGAGCTGTGTTTTCACATACAAAGACCTGCCCTGGTTTCTGTCAGCAGTTTCAAGCTTCGCAGTGTTCATTTGCAACTGCTCATTTCCACTTCATACAAAAGTAAATCAAATAGTGAGCATCTCCCCAAAAGACAACATTTCTGCATCACACTGAACAAACCAGAAGCACAGTTCTAACACTGCCTGGATCAGGTGACCACAAAAATATGCATATTTTAAAGAAAATGCTACTTTAAATTTACAACATTTCATTAAATACTCTTTAGATACTTATTTTGGTGGAACAACACATTCCAGACCAGGCAAGACTGCTAAAAAAAGGTTATTTTTAGATGACATTCAATCTAAGAAAAAGCCCTTGTGAGGGATGCCAGCTCACAAGTGTCTGTTGTGTCTCATTTCACTTCTCTTGTAAAACACTGGGGTACAATGAATAGGCTTTCTTTTAAGAGAGAAAAGCTCATGTTGGAGTGCTTCTGACAGGGAAAGGCTCTGAAAAGATGTAAGGGAATAAGCTGTAGCAGCCTAGAAAAGGGGATGTGAGGAGATGCAATGAGCATAGCCAGTTTTGAAGAAATCCCCAGGTTGGGAGGGAGGGGGAAAAACAGGTTTGATTTTGAGACAGGGCAACAGCTCAAAGAAGCAGACTGAACAGGTAACTGCTGACACTCTGTCTTTAAAACCAGAATTGAGATAAAAATCCAAAGGCAGCAAACATTGGTCCAACATAAAGGAAGTCACTAAGAGCACAGAAATGACTCCTGTGCTCCAGTATTTCACAATCACTCTTGCAGTTGGTTAAGGTATTTGACTGTGTTAATAGCCTTCTTGTTGGCTGCTCCTGAATTCAAGAACTCATGTCAAAAATATTTGCTGGGCTGACAGGGAGGTGCCAGCACCCTCCCCTACACACAAAATACATCATCAGCACTACCCAGCCAGCAATGGAAAACTGGAGGATCCAGACTGAAGTCCCAGAAGGAATGTGGTGTTTGCTCTCTGTCATTAATGCCTTAACAGAAGCCCACACTGAAGACTGCACTACTACTGCCTTCCTCCCATCTGTGGGGTGAGAATTTATTCAGTGACAAATCAGAGGCTGGAAAACTGACAGTTTGGGATTTGCACTGATTCAATGTCTCCAGTTAGCAGAGCCCCAAGACCAAGTGTGGGCATCAAGAAAACCTGACAGCTTAGAGCACATCCCAAATGGGTAGAGCTGCCCTGCCTTACTGAAGGGTATCTGCTCTATCTGCATTGCCTGGGCTTGAATTTGTTCCTTCTCCCCTAAAACTCCCTCAAGGTCAAGACAAAAAGTGAAAGCAGTTTTCATGATTCAATCAAAAGAGGTTTGGAGGGATGGCAGGGTGTGTCATTTGTGCTGCTGAGAGAGCAGGTAAGAAAGGGCAGGGTAGACATATGAGGAATGGAGTCTTATTAATGATTTATGGCCAGTGGAAACTAGAGGGAATCCACACACAGCATGAAGCTCAGCTAAGCTGTGTGGGAATGTGCCAGGACAGCATTCTTTTTCAACGGCTGCCCATCCACCTTGTTTCTGAGCAGGTCAGTGCCACTGCAGTAACAATTTCTGTAATAGTTTTGTTTCAAAAGCAACACAGAATGAAAGCATCTGTATATCAGATAGCTCCATTCCATAGCATTAATTTGGTTGGACATTGGGCAGACTTGCTGGCTGGAATTCTCAGCAGGTTTGAACAGCTGTTCATTTACTGTACTTGCCAACTGCCAGTTGAAAAGCTGCTACTCCTCTGTCTAAAAGGCAGCTATGAAATCTCTGTCGAACTTCAGGAATCCTTCTAAATCAGAGCTCTAAGTCAGTCAAGTCTTTGAGAGGAAATAGAGGAACCAGCATAAATCCACAGAAAATCCCAGCTCTGAATGCCCTTGCCTGTGCAGGCACAAAACCACTTCTATAAATGTAAAGCAGCTTTTGTACCTCCAATACCAAGACACCTGAGTATTTTTCTGGCACTTTTCAGCATTAGAAGCCTCATTCTGCTCATCCCCAAACACATGTCCTTTTTCCTCCCCCAACATAAACACAGGGATAGAGTCCCATGAACAAGGACTCACTAGAGAGCAGACAGATTGCTGTCCTTTAAATCTTGCCATCTCGTTTCCCTGCCCTGAGTGAGGAGAGCAGCCTGTGCGGAAGAGCCATGTCCTACATTCTTGCCCAGCCACTGTGTGACTTCTCAACAGAAATAACACAGTCACTAAAGCATCACACACAATCTAGGTTTGTTTCTTGCCTTACAGGAACATCACTGTAGAGTCCAGCTCTATTTTACCCACCAGATTTACAAGCAACATCTGGGATTTCAAAGAAATCCTGAGATGTTTTAAATCTGCATTTTGTCTCATCTGGCAAGTCCTGGGGTATGGCAGCTTCTCCTACCCACACAGCTCCTGGGGATAAGAGCTGAGAAAAAAATAAATACATAAAAATAGAACCATGATACCTTAAGAGCTATTTTAACTTACTTTTACTACTTTTCAAGGTTGGGAGCCTAATTTTAGAACAGCATTTACTTTAACCATCACTTGAGATAACAGAAACTATTGAGAGCTTGTACACCCAAGTTTTTACATAGCTCTAGATTATACCTCTCTATTTCTTAAATTTAACAAGCACATAACCTTTTCGAGCAGGCACATTTCATCTCTTGTGCAGTCCTGAGACAGCTGCAATCTTTTCCATGCCATACATTTCCATCTCCTTTTATGGGTTTGAAAATCTTCAACCATTCCGGATCCGATACTGGCTTCCACCAAGCATCTTTTTTGATGAAGAACTTACTACTACAGGAGTCAGATTCAGACCTATGCACTGCAGCAGGAGTCTCTCTGCTTTTTTGGTCCAACAGAATTCCAGTTCTCTCTTCCCAGGTTTCATTTTCATTAGCAGTTTGGGCAAATGTGACGGTGCTCTGGACAAAAGTACTTTGCAAATGTACACAGGAATTGACATTAAGCCAATGCTCATGTTCAGGTGAAGATGACTCAAAGGTTTGCTGGTCTCTGATTTCCACCTCATTCTCAGAGATTTCCCTGTTTCTCAATGGCCTCGTGTTGTTTGCCTCACAAAATGCTTGGCTGCCTGGCTCATCAGAGCTTGATGCAACATCCTGCTTTTCTTCTTCCGTAAGGTCAGCCAAGACTTTCACAACTTTTGGACACTGGTTTAAGTATGCTGAGGTAGTTTCCTCCATGTCTGATGCACTCCGTAGCAGTCCATTATCTACTTCACACATCTCAGAGGTGGGTTTCACCCCACTTTTTGGAACTTGTGCAGTTCCACACTCCTCGCATATCCCGTGGGTTCCCTCAGTCCTAACTGTGTCTGTCTTGCTGTTACTTTCAGGGGCAGAGAATGCCATAGCTACACTACAATGGCATGACAAAGAAAACAGTGAGATATACTGCATTTAAAGAGCATACATAACTGTATTCAAGGTTAAGCTAGACATTAACCAGAGGCTGTGGCCATGGCTCTGCGGTAGTTCATATACCAACCCCAGACAGCTGTATCCTGCCAGAACTTGACAGAAGTCTGTGTTTGAGTCTAGCAAAGCCGTGTTGACACAGCACACATCTCTTTCAGGGTGTTAGTTGTGGCTGAACAGTGAAGTCTCTTTGTGAATAAACTGCATTAAAAAACTACTTTACCTCCTTTCATGTGCTGCCTTTTCATGCTTTTGCCTTAATTCCTGAGAGCTCTCCAAATTGACATGAAGAAACTGCAAGTCACGCTGCTGTTTTACATAGATCTGTTTAAAGATAGTAATGTGCATTAGCAGAAGTCTGGAGTGCTGGAATATTGCCATCAGGTACTAACACATTGCCTATCTTCCAAAAACATCCTGAAAACACTTTAACAAACCCATACTTGCAGTCAAACTATTGTCAAAGCCTTCCAAATCTAAGGGGCCATGTCTACATGTATTTAGGAAAATAAAGTTTTGCAGCAATAAACAATATTCCTATTAGAAGACTGCCGTGTTCTTTTAAGATGGAACCACACAATCATAACTACAGGACCATTTGATATGTGAGATTTAATACATGTTGTTATGTTGTTCAAAGTTATGTAGAACTGCAGGACATGAATGATGATCATGGTATTTGGCATTCACTACAGGGAAGTTTTTGCAGAGCTGATGTAGATGATAACATACCCATCAATTATTTGCAATAAAAGAAGAATTGAACATGCCTTGAGAACCTCAGACGGGTGCAGGTGAAAACACTGGGCTTAAGTCTCTGCTGAAACAGCTCTTTCAGTACCCCATGCCCCTTTACACTGCCCGAGTTCACCTTGAGCATGTGTGTCAGGCAGTACACCCCACTCCCACTGCCCTTCACGTGACTTCTCGAGCCTAGCACTCTCTGTTTAGACACACGCACCGACAAACTTATCTCAACAGGGTGCCCCCACTTTACTGCTACGAGGGTGGTATTTACTCATCGTAGGACTGAGTAAATACAATTATACAAAACCAGCTAAAAGAACATGTAAATAAAAAGATTTGTACCATGCATGGGGGTTTTAATTTTAACCAAAAAGGAAAAATAATGTTCCAAAGCCACCCCAGCAAGGCAGAAACAGCAAATTTGGTTTCTTTTCCTTCATTAATCATAGCTAGAGCTAACTTTTTATTACTGTTCCATGCAGATCTGATGTATTGAAAAATGCCTTCACAGTCTCAGAGCAGGAACACAGTTAGGGCTGTACCTTTCGCAAACCTGATAGCTCTGTGTCAGTCCGCGCTTGTTTTGACTTTGCAAACTGCAGAAGTTGATCCTGTCTCTTTGCTTTCTCAACTGTTTCAAAACACAGATACTTTTCTCATTACTTAAAAGTGAATAGACACAAGGCAAATACATTTGTTAATGCATGTCTGAAGCAGTAGAAACAGGTACCTAAGCAAAACAAAAGCATTTTCGTAAGATCAGTGGGATCTGTTTCCCCTCGAGACAAAGAGCACAAAAGCCATAAGACAACTAAACAGATTAAGTCTTTTCCTCAGACTTTCCACAGCACCTCGTTTTATTTTACCAGCAGCAATATTCTGATTGACTGATTTTACTTTTTCACGTTCCCATTCTTTCACGGAAAGGCAATTCACTAATTAATTCTAATTCATGCCTTGTACAGAAAAGTGCTGAGAAATACTTCCCATTACTATTGTTTCTAAAATAATGAGACATGGGATCAATATTTGGCAAAGGTAATGGCAGATAAGAAGTCATAGGCAAGTAAATCATACCCAGCAGAGGACATCCTTGGTCACCTATCTTTCAGGGTATATATTTCGTGTCTGTAATAACACTGCAGCAACCACCAGCCTGCCCTTCTTATCCACTGCAGCACAGAGGAGTTCCTCTCTTACCCAAAACTAAAGCAAAGATTATCACCAGACAGCAGGCTGCACTTTACCAAGTCCTGCATATTAAACCAGTCGAAATCAAACCCAGCACTTGAAGAAAAGCAAGAAAAAAAGAGAACTGGTAAACATACTGCTTCCATACAAAAACCAGAGGGAGTGAGTGGGCTGGTAATTTCATAGGGCCTAAGCTTTAGGTTTTGTATGCAGCTTCTATTCAGTAGGTCACTATTTTCTATGCAGTCTACATCAGAAGGGAGAATGCCACCCCCACTTATTGTATTAATACCACAGGAGACATGAAAATCTCAACAATTTCAAGAGAGAATCCTCTGAGCCATTTATTCCTCTGCGTGTAATCACACTGGTGAACTTTGTGCTTTTATAAATGTCCCTGCAGAAGCCCTAGATATTGCCTTCATAGAGCAATGGCACACAAAGCCGTATGTATTAAACTGCAAGAAAGGGAGATAAGAAGCTGCCTCCTTCACAGACAGTGGTGAACCGTTGTCTAGAAGTCTCTGTGCTATTAAAAGCTAAGGCATGAAAAGCCAACTGCCCTCACTTACCAGCAAGTGCGAGCTCGTTCCTCAAGCAGCCGTTTTCCTGTTTGAGGTGAATTATTTCCTGCTGCTGCTTCTGATTTTCTTCCACCTTTTCACAGAGGTCATCTTTAAAACAAAATGCAGTATTCTGCAGAATGAAAAGGAATCATGCTGGTCTACACTAAATGAGGCGCCCAGTATGAATATTTACCTTTCAGCTTATTTGTTTCAAGTAGTAGCTCTTTTAGTCTCAGTTTGAGGTCTTGCTTGTCTTTGTTGAGACTGAATCGCTCCATCCTCGCTGCACGCAATGCACTCTCCACCTTTTTGAACTTAGATGTAAAGTCAGTGATGTGATCAGTTGTTTCAAGTATAGCCTCATCCTGAAACACAAAATAGAATGTATTCTTCACTGTTGTTTTACATACGGATTTTGACAAGAGTACATCTTACTGCACTAGTTATAGCTACTTCTGAGCTCTAGAGGAAAAAAACCCAAAATCAAAGCCAGGAAACAAGCTTGTTTGTGAAAATAAAGCAGTTTATTCTTTGCTGACCAAGTTTTCCTTCGCAAACAAGCCTATGAATTTAACAGCAGTGGGCGACTAAGCCACTGTGGTACAGTCATTGGTAACTGCACTGCAGTTAGACCACATTCAGTACCTGAGGAGATGACAGATGTTACCTTCAGCTTAAGCATAGTAAGTAGCTCCTGTTCTCTCGCTTGTAGCTGGCCTGTTTTAGCAGAGAGTTCCAAAACTGAACAGTGAAGACCTTGATTTTTCTCCTAGTGAACAGAAATAAGAGTGTGAGCTACTGCTTCAGTGATTCAGTTACTATTTGTCCAGAAAATGTGGGCACAACTTTCTTTAAACATCATGAATGTGGGATTCTGGGCAAACCGTGAGGATGTGGAGAAAAGAGAACTCGAGAAAACAGTTGTTCCCCAGTTCCTTATAACAAAACCCTTGATTTGGTCTTAATATCCTGCATGTCTTAGGTCAAGCCAATAAGGCAGATGAAAATGCAGGATAATATTTTACTGCATACAGGGGAAAAATAATCCCAATAAACACATCACTGCCAAATCACTTAATAAACCCCAGAACCCTTGAATACCCATTATTTTCACATCCTAAACCATTTTCAGAATGCTGTAGTTCATCAGAGTAATCAAAGCTGTAAGTAAAACCTTCTAAAGCTTCCTAACCAAGTACCAGCACTGTTCTGGGGCCAGCACTGCCTTTTGCAATTACAGTTACAGGCATTCTTGGAAGCAAGCTGGTTCTGAACAGTGCTCCCCCAAACTAAGCAAACAAACAGCAAACTCCAAATCATAGCTTAGGAAAGCTCCCCTCCTGTATTTCCCCCAACAAATCAGAGTTATACCTTAACCTAACATTATTGTACTAATAGACAAATGCAACTCAGGAGCCTTAATATGAACTACCTATTCACTAGTGAAACTCACAAATGCCACTGGCATTCTGTACATGCAGAGTCTGCAAAATCAGACCATTACTTAACTCCTACCTCCAGAGCCTGACAGTGAGCAGTTGCATCTGTCACTTTCTGTGACAGCTCTCTGAACTTCTGCTGTGTGCTTTCAAGTGTTGTCTTACTGTCACTCTGCTGAGATTCTAAGAACTTTAACCTTCTGGTCAGTGATTTGATGATCTCATTTCTCTTGTTCAGCTCATCTGAAAAGAACGGACACAAGGGATCTGTGAGAAAACACTGTTGTCAGAAATAATTTAACGCAGTGTTTTAAAATCACACGATTTGGAAATGGATCCACTGAAGCAGGATTCCCTGCCTACCCAGGTTGGATGGTGAACTCCGTGCTGACCTCTGTACTATGGCTGTCAAACAAGACTGTTGAGAGCTGGCAGGTGATTAGCTGGGTGGCTGGTAGTTGAGGTCAGAGGTGTGCAGCAGCACCTCAGGGCACAGGGCTCTGCAGTTCAACAGCATGTCTGCAAATTGTTCTCTCCCCCCACATTTATTTCATCAGATTATCTTTTTTAAGAATCCACAGAGTCAATTCTACAGACTCAAATGAGAATTATGAGACCTCCTTCAAGATCAGATCACTTTAGTACCATCATGGAAGTCTTGATTTCAGAATGAAAACAACCACATTTAAGGCCGAAGGGTAGGAAATAGTTCCTTACATGATGCAGAACTGTTATTGCGGGGTCTAACTACCAGACCATGCTTAAAAGGGTCTTATTCTTTATACACACAACACTTACTGCTTAGTAAGTTGCACCGCTCTGCTAAAGTCAGTATTTTCTGCCGATCATCTTCCCAGACTAGAAGCTGTCTCTGATGCACTGCAACCATGTCATCGAGTTCCTTATCACGGTCTTTCAGTTCTGCAATTAAAAGCTGCAGCTCTTGCCTCTGTTTCTCAATGGTGCTGCTCTCAAGGCTTGGGTTACTTTTCTATACAGGATAACACACAGAACATGTTTTGATGTGAAGGAGAAGGGAAAAAGTCTCTGGTTATAAACTCGAGGTTTTAATTTAAGCTATTTTTATATAATAAACAGAGACTGTTTCAGTGAGTTCCTCATGCTTGTGGTACCACCTGCGGTCCTTAACCGAAACTGTCAGCGGTACAATGAGTAATGTCACACTAAAAACAGAGCACTCTGGTTTTAACTGCACTTTCATTGTTTACCTGGGGCGGAGCAGAACGTGGCACTGATGGATTCATAGGGGACCGTGGGCCCGAGCGCTACCAGGCATCAGTGGACACTGGCAACTACTGATGACTGCCACGCTCGGCATGGGGGCCGCCTCCGATCTACGGACATGGTCACCCGCCGAGGCAGCTGCAGGAATAACAGACACAAGCCGTTGAGAACCGACCGAGGCGGGGGCCCGGCCCCGCGGCTTCTCACAGGGGCCTAGGCCTGTGGAGGGGCCCTGGGGCATCCCCAGCTTGGAGCAACGGGACCCTGCTCCCCGGGGCAAGCCGCAGGTCCCCCACGTCCCCACCGTGTCAACCGGGGTCCCGCCCCCCGCCCTCGGCCCCGCCGCTCCCGCCCGTTACTCCGCGCCCCCCATCAAACCCACCGGCGCCCTCGCCCTGACGTCACGGCGACGTCCCGCCCCCGCCAGCCGTTGAGTGGCCTGCTCGGGCAGCGGTTAGGCAGAAGCCCCGCCCACCGCCGCAGTGGTGAAGCCGCGGGTTCGAGTCCCGCTTGGGAAGACGAAGTTACAAGGCTCGGTAATAGCGTTAACAGGAGAGCAGCGAGAACTGCTGGATTCACAGGTTAACAGCTACAGAGATACACTGTTTGGACACCCCATTCTCAACTCAACCAATCGGTTTATAAACAAGAATCACGACAAGGAAGTGTGTACAACATACCATCCTCCTGGGTTTCAACTCATCCAGTTTTGACTGCAACAAGAGCATGTCTACTCCAGGCCTCTGCCGCCAGGGCACATTTAACATTATTAAATAGAGCAGTGAAAGAGAAAGCTCCAAATCCATGCCCAAGGCCTTTGGTGGGAGTAGGGAGAGTGGAGCTGTACAGCTGGAGAGCAGAGGTACAACCAGCACCCCATCTCACCTCCTGCATGAGCAAGGCTTTTGGAAACCAACAGCAGTCACTGCTCTGGAACTAGCTGTATGCTAAAAACATAAGGCCACTAAAATTCCCTCACCTTGAAGACCAGTGGGGTTAGGAAATCATCTGGAATTATGATAACAGCTTGAGTGTTCCAGATATATTTGCATTTTCCTCAGTGTTTTCACTTAACAGAATACTTCAGCTGGCAGAGACCTACAATGATCTAGTCCAGCTACCTGACCACTTCAAGAGTTATTTTCCTTTAAGTGCTTACACACCTTTAGAACATTTGTCCCATTCCAATTTCTAAGGTTTTATGCAGGTAAATCAGAAGTATGGGTCTGTACGTTACCACAGGCCTTATTCACTTGAGTTCAGCAGAAAGGGCAGCAGATGGAAATAACCTTCTAATGACTTAGGTTATTGTTTTCCTGTAAGACTGCTAGAGGAAAGCAGCTGTAAAGAAAACATAAACCACATTCCGTGAGGAACAGTAATTTTATTTAGATCTACTTCATGCGTAAGCATGATAAAACCCCAATTGAACTTTGGCAAGTATCACAACAAAAATAACCAAGCAGCCTATACAGAAACAGTGAAAATGCCAAGGATATGGGTTCTCCACAGCTTCACTGCAGAGCAGAGGGATTTAGAAGCCTCACTTTGGCTACATCATTTATTAACCATATAATTAAATAAAGGTAGTCTTCCACTATCACTTCTTGACTTCTCCGAGATCTTCAATGCTATCATCATCCACCTAAGGACAAAAAAGGCCAAAACAAAGCATATTACGTCTATTTTCTTCTTAGATGTCTCACTTCATATTCACCGCTGTACATGTAATGAAGTGTGGGAGAAGCATACAGCACCATCCGAGATTCCCTGCTGTACATTCTACATGAGGGACATGCTTACAGGACACAGCTGAGCCTCTGGAGCTCTGAATAAGGACAGGCCTAGAGAGTTATTTCAGAAAGAACTCCTCCACTCAGGAAACAGCACAAGGGATGGTCAAAGAACACACTTGTGATTGCAGCAGCACAACCAAACGTTTCAACCATCAACATTTTAGTCCAACCCCAAATTAATCTCTCCTGCTGAAGCACAAGTGTGTGGGGGTTTGTTTGGTTGGTTTAATTCTGGACTATTTTAAGAGACTTTTAAAAATAGGGTGGCAATGTAAGAATACTCAGGCACTGACCATTAAGGAACAGTCACAAAGAAGCCACAGATATCTGACACCTGGACTTACTCTGACATGCCTTTCTCACTGGCCTATCTACAGTAACAGCACTACAGCAGAGGGATCTGCCATTCCTTGGACAAAGGAAACAACATTTGACTTCAAGTTTAATCAGTCCTTAACCTAACAATTCACAGGTGGGAAGGCAACAACTGCTCTTTGAATTACGCACACCAATCTGTGCTGCCAAAGAATAAACCCTTTTTCAAAATCGTTGGAAAGGCACAGGCTATTGTGGAAAACTGGAGTTCTGACAGAAGAAAGGGTTTGTTACCTCAGGCCACTTCTCCTGGATTACATCAATAATGTCATCTGTAAAATCGCCCTGAATGATGATCTCGTCTTCTCCTGTTACTGAGGCACCGCAGGAAAATTTCTGAGCAAAAAACCTTTGTGCTTCCTTAAGATCAATTTCTGTTGATGGGAAAATGGGCAGTTTCAGTACAGACATTGCCATAAAGGTATTTTTCTCAAGTTTAAAACCAAAACCTTGTTTTAACTGTTGAAAAACCGGTGGCAATTTACAGCTAAAGCTTTGCTACAGCTTCCACTGAAAGCTTAAGTCTGTTGTTGACATACAAACAACTGACTCCACAAATCTAGTAAACTATTCAAGGTAAAAATCACTGAACGTCCTCTGCACATTCTGTTGAGGCAGGTCAAGGCTGTGTGCGCTCCCTAGAAAGGCAAAGAACCGTTTAAAAAGCACCTCCAGTTCTAAATAACCTCATAATTATTGAACAGGTTTTTCCCCAGAAGTGCTTCACTATGTTCTTTTCAGAAACCCTAGTGATTTCTGAGACTGGCTTCCAAGCACAAAGATTCATTCCCAGTTCACACCAAGCCAGTGTGTGTTACTGATCCCTCAAGAAAAGAGATTGCTACTCTCATGCAGGAAATATGCAATGTGTGTTGCTAATAAAACCAAGGTTAAAACCTACCTTTTTAACAGAATTTGTCATCAATGTGTGAAGTAAGATGGTTATAAAAACCAAGTGGCTGTCCTGTTAAACATCAAAATGTGCTAAAAACCCTGTAAACCTATTTGTTTGAAAACACCATGGAAATATGGACGTTAATAATTTATCCCTAAGAAAAGTCACTGTACTTTTAGAACTGTTAAAAGTACCCCAGGACTCAGGTGGAAGTGGATCACCTAACGCAATACAACCAGAAGAAATACCATGATGACGTTAAAGGCAAGCACATCTAAACCCAAGAAATACCACGCTGCAAAAGTCAACTCACCAAACGTTGCAAGGCCACATACTCTTGTGACGTATTTTTTCTTTGCTCTAGGAATTTTAGCTATCGTAACTTTCTGTGGTACAGTCTTCTTTTTCTGTTTTATCTGGCCCCTTCCACCTTTAAAACAGAGTATAAGGCTACATGATGTCATACTTCATTAAAGAAAAAGAGCATGTAAGATGAGATGTTACCCCTATAAACAAAGACGCTGCTATCTCACATCTGTGTTGGTAAACAAAAATACATTTTGCACATTGTCTCACATTAAGGGTTTTTAATTATTATCTAAGAAAGGTCCCATATAACAATAAATGCATGTCAAATGTGTGTTCAAGTACAGCTTGCACAGCAGAACCCCACTGCAATTACTGAAAGAGGGGGTTTCCCTGCACTTTGCTAATCTTTGCATTTGGTCTACATTTAACCCCTCTTTCAGGAATTGTTCTTTGGTTGTAATCCAAGGAATAAATTGTTACTTTAATGTTTTTCATGAGTTTAACATCCCTAGGGTTTGTGTCTAATGCAAAGGAACTTACTTATGTCCACCTACATGAGGATGTGACTGCTAAGGCCACTGGGTTAGACAGCAGATACCTGTGCAGGACCCCAGCATGAGCCATCCATCTATATGCGAGCTACCATGAAACACTGTGCCTCTGAAACGGAAGCCAGCTACAGTAGTTGACTGCCAAAATTCCACATGATTTAGTAGCTTTCTTACTGTCTGTGTCTAGGCCAACCTGAGGGAACACTTCACATTATCAGGCGCTTATTAGTCTGAGTAAAGCATGCAAAAGATCTATTCCACTCATTAAGATTCTTAAGTCAGATTAAGATCTCTTAACTGTGTATACACTCATCAAGTTACTTCAGGGTAACCAGAGTTTCATGTCCTTGAGCCTTCTCAGCATGAAAACATAAAGAATTTATGACAAGCAAACTAACCCCTTGTGACCAGTTCTTTTTCTAACATACAGCACTTTCAACTCCACATCACTATAAATTGATATCCGATAATTTAAGACAGTAAATTTCTGTCTTAAAATGTCTTCAGTAAATTTCTGCAGTGTCTTACTTAAGTTTTTGCTTGTTTCTCCTCACCCTCTCTCTTACAGTCAATTTTATACCACCGTAGTTAGCACCAAAGCATACATTTTCATTAAACTTTTCATTCTAGGAGAAAAATCCCTAAATATTTTAAACACTACTAGTTTAGAACCAAAAGCCAGACAGAAGTCTAACCATACCACCTCACACACTAAATTAATGGGAAATAAAATGTCCTGAAGTCTCTGGGAAAAGCATCCAAGCTACAGAACGTAAATCACTGTTGTTACCCCACATAGCTTACTGACAAAATAAACATAACTGGTTACCAAGCCACCAAAATAAAACACCTGCAGTGAGATGTGGCTTAAAATCTGAACTTCACTGGGCTATTAACCATAATTTATGAAGCACTATAGACACAACTGGCACTCCACAGATAAATGCGTATTAATAACCTCAGCATTTGGATTTAGAGTGGAAAGTATGTTAATTAATTAAACAGAAAGAACTCCAATGACAAAAGATAAATGTGCTTAGATTATTTCATATATATCTTCCAAATTTGGTTTTTGAAGATGTTTTTCATTAGTATTGCTGGGAAGAGACACAGCTGTTAACGAAGCCATAGGTGGTAGTATTAAAAGCATAAAACCAAATCCTGTTACTTGAACACAGAGGAGGGGAGGAAGTTAGAAAGGCAAAAGCAGTGTCATGAGGCACGAACAGAGGAAAGCAATCTTTGTTCTACTCTGCCAGCAACCTATAAACTGTTGTTAAACGGGGCAGAAACAAGTATTCTGGGAAGCATGCCAGCTGATTTTAGGTTGAGAAGAATTGCTCCCTGAGCAAG